CTTGAGATAGGTTTTGGAGTCTGTTATTATGCTATTGGATTCCTTATTATGCTGTAAATTCCCAACATAACTTATATATGATTCTATACTTGTGATTTTGAACTTAAATTAATGCGTAATTTTGCATTTGGCTGTAATTCAATGATCAAGTATGTAAAGTTGCTTTTGAATCAGAATTAGTTCTGTTTAAATATCTGTTGAGGTTAGAGTTCTGTTCTTTTTATCCTTAAGCTATAAATAAACTGGCGACTTTTTTTTTTTTTTCCTTCTCAATAGGAGCAAAAAGAATTTTGTAACTTCGTTAGTGTTTTCTGAATGGAAAATATGAAAATATAGTTGTGTCTCATAAATAGAAGTGGAAGACTTGTCTATTTAATAAAAGAAAGACTAAAAACTTACTATGTATTGTCCAGGGGCATTTGATGAGATGCATATAACTTTTTTTACCCACTTTCAGTGGTAATTTAGGTTTTCTTTGCTTTATAGATAAGAGACTAAATGTAAAAGACAACAAAACTGATACAAAGAGTAGTTCTAGGAATGCCATAAGGATGATTGGCCGATTTTTATCTTCTTATTGTCAAAAATGTCGGTGGTTCCAATGGTGTGTAGGATATTTGGAGTTGCAGTGTTTTTAGGCCTTATAGGCCTTCTGAGGAATTTTATTATTTCTCTGTCCTTCAAATGTCACAGTTCATCAGAAAATAATGTTCATCTCAATCATAATCATTGACAAGATTATTGCCTTAGGCCCTTAGCAAATGTTTCTTGGCAGATGAGGGTGTTCTCCCCCATTAAGTAAATATGAATAAAAATTTACTTTAATTTTCTTTCTTTCTTTCCTTTTTTTTTCAAAAGAACGAGGGAAAAGTGCGTTGTTGGCTTATATAACATCCGCGGTGGTTTGGAAGATTGTAATAAGTTGATTCCAGAGGCACATTATATGCCTATGCCTATGCTGTGCTTTTGCTTTGCTTTATTTATTAATTGTTACTTTGTTCAGTTGAAATTATGAAATGACTCTGTTGCATCATTGTTTATTTAGATCTCTACCAATCAATGGGCTTTGGCAATCCACCTGCCTTGACTGATTCAGTAGGAGAATGCAAAGAACTTGCACAACCACTAGGCCAAGTGGACTTACATCTGGTGGTGCTTATAGTCCTAGGCTGGACCATATTTCATACCCATATGTGTCTCTCCCTTAACCACCTGAGAACAGGACCGAAAAGAATACGATTGATGGTCGTGTGAATCCTCATGACTTGGCAAATCTACAGACTGGCACAAGTTTAAGAAGCGTCAGAAATAATATATCTAACTTCTCCAGAGTTCCACAAACCTCACCTACTAAAATGAGCACAAGAGAATCTTGTCAGTCAATTGATGGCAGTAACACGTTCCCTGCAGAATATGAGGACTCGAAGGTTCATGTGAATTTCATGCCTGCAAGAGGCGATGCCAGTGCTGGTTATCCAATGAACACACAAGGAAGAGAAGCTAAAAATAGTAGCAGGACACATATAAGTGGAAATTTTCCTAGTTTAGGATTTAGCCATTCTATATTGCAGCATGCTGAAGAAATTAACAATGATGTCAAGGCCAGTCCTGTTCAGTTTGGTTATCCAGGAAATGCTGATGGGAGTTTTCTGACACTTGGAATTGGGGATAATGCAGAAGCGATGCCCAATAGTAATTTCAATACTCAAGATGTTCCCAGTAAAATGAAGGAAACTCTTTCTTTCCCACATAATTCTTTTATTCAAGAAACTTTGCAAAGCTCCTCGAGTCTTCCCCCATTGACTGGTAGAACAGTAAGCTCCCAAACTGATGCTGGTGTATCATCAAGTTTGGCTCAGAATTTAAGTTGCCAGAATTTTGTTTGTAACGAAGCTGAAAATATCGGAGGTGCCAATGTCAGGCAGCTAAATGTGATTCCATCCCCTTGTTTACAGACTCCAGAAGCTGATATGCAGGGAACTTTTCCTACGAACTTTAATATGCATTTAGGTTGTCAAGTTGATATGGCTGTATCCCCATTGCCATGCAGCAGCATTTCCATCATTCATCCTGATTGTACTAGTGTTCCAGCATTGACATCAGAATTACACAAACTTACACTGTTTGCTCGTCAATCGATTTCTAACAAGAAACATAATTACTTTACACGTAGTTCTATGAAATTCTCATCAGACTCTTCCATGAATTCCCATTTGTTCAGACATCAAGGGAGCTCCATCAGGCATGCTCAATTAGGTGAGTCATGATGATTTTTTTTTCTCTTGCAATCTTTTTGAACATAAGGTTGAGGTCTTTATGTTTACAGGGTATAATGCAGACACTCGCCTTATGTAATGCTGGATGTTCTTATCTAAGAATGTAGTTCTATTATTCAGAAGGCATATTGATATATTTGGAATTCTTCTATGGAAAAATCAAGCTTTCTCTGTGTCATTTTGCTGTATTACAGTGTACGCAGATAATTAAATAACCCTAATGTGAATGAATGAGAAGATTACAATACAACATAACTTACATCTAATCGACACCATTCTGCATTTTCTACTGAATTTAGAATTAATTTGTACTCCCAAGTGTTCCAGAATTACTCCTAACACCATTCTCTTGGCATGTTGATTTCTCCATGTTGCTTGAAATGAGCTGGATGCTCAATATGGCCACTATTCCATAGCAAACTGTGAATGTAGATTATAAAGATTAACTGACCTCATCATCATGTAATAATGGGATACAGAGGAGAATGGAATTGGCATCTTTACGAGTACTTATCTTCGTGGTAAGCTAACTAAAATTCACGTCAAAGGTTCATAAAAATAAGTTGTCTTAACTTTATTAGAAATGTAAGGTGGGGGTGTTTGAATTGTATTAAAACTTTGTTTTAGATGTAGATTTCATGTCGTTAATATGAATACATGAAAAATAAAAGCAAATGGTGTATCACTGCAATATCCCAATCCAAATTGCTATCACTTGGAGGAAACTAGGTTTTTATGAAACAAATGGTGTTTAATATGGAAACAATGCATTCAGGACAGTGGCCATGTAATCTTTTTGCTTACATTTTAAAAGAGGCTAAATTATATGACACGGAGGTCTCGTAGTTCTATAACGTATTAAGACATGAGATGATAATCAATATATCAAACTGAAGGCATTTTTAGTATAATTGAAGTCTAGAATTTACAGTTAGGCCTCTGTTTGGCGTACATTTTTGGAAAAAGAATACATTTTTACTGTTGATGTGATGGGGAAGATGTGGTTGAAAAAGAAGGAAAAGTTATTGATGTGATGGAAAATATTATTTTATTGAAAAATATGTGGTTGAGAATGAGTAGAAAAATAAGAATGAAAAAATTAATGTGGATCAAACATGGCATTCTTGCTTACCAATGAAAAAGAAGGAAAATTTATTAATGTGATGGAAAATATGATTTTTTTGAAGAATGTGTGATTGAAAATGAGTAGAAGAATGAGAAAGAAAAAAAATAATGTGGCTCAAACGGGGCCTAGTTGTTGTGGCCCCACATATGAAAAATGAGTTGAAAATGGGTGACATGATTGTAGCTCTATGTTATAAATTTTGGGAGAGTCGTATCTCAAAAGCTAGCTATTGAAGTTGGACAGCTCAAGTCCATATAAACCCCACCCCGAAAGTCTATACTTTTGACATAGAATTCCACTCTCATACCTTACAATGTAAATCATAAAAGTATATAAGTTCTATTTAACTTCAATAAGATATTCTCTTTTTCAGCCTGAATCTATGGGACACTTGGATTATAATCTGTTTTTCATCCATGTACATGTCTACTTATACCTTTTGCAAGTTGTTAAGTCATGACCAGCATTCTGTGGTTTTACTTACCTTCTATACTTGCATCAAAATATTGGGGAAATTTCCTATCTAAAAAGAATGAAAAGTTATTAATGTGATGGAAAATATTATTTTATTAAAGAACGTGTTATTGAAAATGAGTAGAAGAATGAGAAAGAAAAAATAATGTGGCTCAAACGGGGCCTAGTTGTTGTGGCCCCACATATGAAAAATGAGTTGAAAATGGGTGACATGATTGTAGCTCTATGTTATAAATTTTGGGAGAGTCGTACCTCAAAAGCTAGCTATCGAAGTTGGACAGCTCAAGTCTATATAAACCCCACCCCGAAAGTCTATACTTTTGACATAGAATTCCAGTCTCATACCTTACAATGTAAATCATAAAAGTATATAAGTTCTATTTAACTTCAATAAGATATTCTTTTTTTCAGCCTGAACCTATGGGACACTTGGATTATAATCTGTTTTTCATCCATGTACATGTCTACTTATACCTTTTGCAAGTTGTTAAGTCATGACCAGCATTCTGTGGTTTTACTTACCTTCTGTACTTGCATCAAAATATTGGGGAAANTACTTACCTTCTGTACTTGCATCAAAATATTGGGGAAAAAAAATTGCCTTTGGTGTCATCCAGAAATGCCTTAATTTTCCCTGTGATATTGCTTTATCTGTTAAACTAATTTGTCGTTTTGCAATGTCTTTCTTTATAGACAATCTTAATATGCATGTTATGCACATGTATGGGGGAAAATGGGAAAGATTTGATTTGATTATTTGCATCCTGTGATTGAGATTTTATAGGACCAAACAGGAATTTTTGAACTTCGAAGATTCCTTTGGTTCCAAGTGTTTCATAACAAGGAATATCTTCCTTGTCATCATTGTAAGTGTTCATATTTCAGTTAATGTTCATCAGCTTGTAATGAAAAACCAGTAGAACGTAAATTGGTGTAATCAAAGGATGTGTTTGATGAGTTGTACAGGGCAATGTATTTGAGAACTCAAATTGAATTACATTTTTTGTTTCTTCATTGCTTAGAAAGAAAAATATTTGTCATTCATTTACAAATTTCAACTATGAAATTTTTGTTGATTCGTAGAAGTCCGTAGTCTTTTCTTTAAACTGCCCTTTTCTATTTATCTGCAGGAAAGTTGATTCCGCAGTCAGAAGGTGTGCCAACTCGAGTTGTTGATACTGTTCCTTCTCCATTAAATGTCAAACCAATGGGTTCTATACTTCTATCTCATTTTTATCTGCATGGATGTTGATCTAGACCATTTATCAATATAATATTCGTTAATCAGTGGGTGGGTTGTGGTGGTGGTGAATATATTTATGTCATGCATGATAAAAAGTAAACTATGAACTCTTTAATATTTGCAAATCAGTAATTTCTTCCATAAGCAGTCCTGTTTTCTACTTTATACACAGGAAAGCAGATTCCACTATCAGAAGGCTGCACACCACAAGTTATTGACAGTATTCCTTTTCCAGGTAGAGTTGAACCAGTCGGTAAGAGCACCTACCTTATGGTGATAAACATTTGTGTTGATAAATACTGTGATACTAAAAAATGCTCTATTAATCAGTGAATTTAACTCCCGCAATGGCTAGAGAAGAGGCGGGATTTTGTCTCGATGTCCCAATGAAAACTAGTATGCATTACGTGAAGTCCTAAAATATGTCATCAACTGTGTATGAATCAAAATGTCGTTGAACTATGCTGGGTAAACCGTGTAAAATTGATTGTTGATGGTTGAAGTTTTAGAATAGTCCGGTACTTTTGTGTGTAATTGAACTGAAAAATTGCTCTCGTTGATCACGAATATAACTGAAATGGATATACCGTGAAATAGTTTTTCTTTTTGTGGGGAGTCATTGTACAATTCCTAATTCCTGAATTCTGCGTTCTGCTGACAATTTTTTCCCCGGGAAACACATGGATTTTAGTTAATATGAACAAATATCAAAAGAAAAATTATGATTCTTAGTTCAGCTTCTCGTCAAAATGGCAGTAAAAAGTTCTATGCAATTCTGTCCATGTGCAAGGTACTTAATCGTCTTTGACACGTACTTGTCCTTGGGCTGATGAGTGATATTAAAGTATTGTAATGTAATGAGGATGACTAGGGTAAGAAAATCATTACTGGATGTAACTCTTCAGGGGACATTTTCTCGGGGGCAGCTATCTTCTTGAAATCTTATTGTTGAAATTCTTCATAGTTACAATTTCTTTAAAAAAGGAACTACATCTAGGATGAATGATCTTGTTCCACAGGAATTACATACAGAGATGCATAAGAATTAAGAAGTAACCTTTTTTTAACAGCTACCAGATGTACAAACTGTGTTGTGGTATGAAGAAGAGTGATCAAATGTCGAAGTATTTGACAAATACTCTATAAACATGAGAAAAAGGAGTAAAACAACAATATACGGCCAAGAAAGACTATAGTACCTTGCCCCATGTCGGTCATCTTCAACATTGTATTTGGATAATTTGCAGGTAATCTGCTTAAAACACAGAATTATGGATCTGTTGATTATCCGCAAAAGGCAGTTGGACCTCCATTGGCTATCGGTATATACTGTTTAATACTGTTGGCCATGCCTTATTTTCTTCCCTTGAGCTTGTTCTTGTTCTTACATATGTTGCAACTGCCTGACCTCTGTATAACTTCTGAGATTATGTTTTCTATGGCCTTCTCAACTTTGTATGCCAGCTCAGGCTTATCCCTGTAGATTATCAAATACTACAGGTATGTACTATGTCAGATTTTCTGTTATTTGTTACATTTTTTTTAGAAGGTTCTCCCTACATAATTTCCCTGTTTTATGCAATCCAGGTCAACCTCAGCATGGTGTATTGATTCAGCTCTCTGAATGTGCCAATGGTATTTATTATGCATCTATTTTTCATTTACATTGGCGTGAATTCTAGGTGTAGCTTCCTGTAATGATGGTCGTAAACTGTTTACAGGTCAGGTTATTCCTGTTCCAAAAGTTGATATCCAATCTCCGGCTTCCAATGTATCTCTTAAAAGAGAAGCGAATGAAAATTCTCAATCCGCTCCCTCTAGTCAACACAAGAGGATGATTCCTCAACCATCTAGACACCCCTCTGTACCCTACCAACAGCGTAGCATTCCAGCTCCTGTTTCAGCCCGACCTCCTGTCACTTCTTCTCCTCTTCATATAAAATGGCAAGGTATCTCCTTTGACACTTTCACTATCATCATCTCTATATTGAAATTCAATAATTTTTGTGGTTCTCAAAGTTTTGGTGCAATTGGTGTCATTTGGACATTGTTGTCTACAAAGCGTATGATCTACATTAGACTATCATTATGTGCTGATCGGGTGATCCATTTTATCTTAATGTTGCTTATTGGCTGAGCTTGGCTGCAATAAAATCCTCTCTAAGGTTTTACATACTTCAAGAAACTGTGGGTTTTTGTGTAATAACTTTCCGCATAGTACGAATGTGAGTTATAACTCATCGGAATAAAATAACTAAGTTTCTACATGTTTGCAGCTTTTGACGAACCTCCTAAGACAATCGGACAGAAATGTTTTCTGTGCAAGAGGGATCTCTCATTCACAGCCGAAGGTCCTGTATATCAGCCTGCTGTTCCACCATTTGTTGCTGTTCTTCCTTATGGCCACACATTTCATGACCATTGCTTGCAAACTATCACTCCTCAAGACGAATCGAAGAATCCTCCATGTATTCCTTGCGCAATTGGTGAAACATAAAATCTCTTCAATTCTTGCTTCGATTTTTCAGCCTACTTCCGGAAAACAACACTTACTTGAAGGTGTTTCCTCGGATTTAGTAAATGAGGAGGAAACGATAACAAAATAAAATTGTTTTAGACTGTACATAGATAGGGTTTCCAATTGAGGGTATATCTATTCTGTGAAGGTGCATTTCTATACCGGCTTTTTTCTCAGTCGAGCAAATTCTACTCTGAGCTTCAATATATATTTTTGGGGATCCCAAGTTCATTTTCTCTTTCCAAATTTGAAAGTTGCCTATATGATCTGTTGTGCGAATGAAAAGTAATTATACTTTTCTGTGACAGTTCATTTGAACCAGAGATAAATTGGGAGTTGCATAAGGCAAACCTTTATATTCCGACCAACGATGGCTTTGAGAAATTTGAGAGTTATCTCCAAACAAACAAAATGTTCTCATTGTATTGTCCGGTTCTTATGAAATTCATAGTTGGAGTAGTATTTTTTGTACTTCAGAAACTCGAAGGTCTACATACCTTTGGTTTAAAGGAAAATAGCTCCCATTACTTTTTTCACTTGGATTTCTCATTACTTGGATTTGATCACGATAACTAGAACAGTCAAAAAGACCAGGGAGCAAAATAATTGTTAATAGTAATGCTTGTATCATTGTCTTGAGAGTGATAATATCTTATAATCGTACTGAAATATTATAATGCGAACAAGTGCCTTGCAAAAGTGGCAATAATAAAGGAGAGGGATGCCTCTATTGCGGTTAGGTTTCTCGCTACTTTAGTTTTCTTGTATATGAATTGTGTGAAGGTCCAACTCTATTGAATCGTACTATCGCTTGTCCCACCACCATCGCCATAATCCAATCATATAGTAATTGGATTTGTACAGTCAAACCCTATCTATGCGCACAATAATACATGAGCTCATAGGAAGCAAATTCAATTATCAAAACGCTAGGAAGGGGGCTATATACATTTCTTACGACAATTCCGCTAACCTTATAAAAATCTTTGTAAAATGAGAAATAAGCAAGAACTCGACCACAATTCAATTATCCATCTCGTTCCCCCAAAAAACCAAATAAATACAAGTAGTAACATCATTTCTAGTAGAATAATATTATTTACAAATAATGAAATTACATAATGATTTACATATAGATCAGATGTCAAAAAGAGAGTGAAAAAGTTATTTTGTTATTATTTGATTGAAGAAATTCTGATCTAATTATATTTCACCATGTTACATATATGTTATGTAAATCATTATATAGGTATATAGTAATACTGAATTTGATGCAATTCAAAAGGCGGAATGTGGAATGAAGAATGACATAGCCACACGCTAAAAGACTCGACCGTTATTCCAGTTATAATATTCCGTACTTTTATTTCCTTAAAAGAGAAGTGCTGTTTTGTTCTTAACAATTTAACGTAAGACACTGCAGAGAATAACCCAACCCCCTCATCCCACCCCCAAGGAACCCTTCACATGTATAAATTTTCTTCACTCAACCTAAATGAGTTTTTAGTTTTCTTGAAAAACCTAAAATTCAATAACCATTGAGAAGTTGCATAAGTTGTTTTGTAGCCCTATTTCAAGAAAATTCAGGTAATCGATATATACATATATTGGTCAATTCATAATGGAGGTGAAGAAAGAAATTGAAGTTCGAGATAAATATGGAGATGGGGTTTCATGGTTTAGGGGTTCAATGATAGGAAAAGGGAGTTTTGGGTGTGTTTATTTGGCTATTCTCAAGAACCCCATATTGAAACACAGTTATTTTCCATCTATCATGGCTGTAAAATCGGCTGAGGTTTCAGTTTCAGGTTCAATTCAGAAGGAGAGAGAGGTTTTCAGCAATGTTAAAGGCTGCCCTAACATAATTAAATGCCTTGGTGAAGAGATCACAATGGGGGATAATGGTGTGATGGTGTATAACCTGTTGCTGGAGTATGGCTCTGGCGGAACCTTAGCCGATAGGATCAAGAAATTTGGTGGCAAATCGTTGCCCGAATTTGAGGTTAAGGTATATGCAAATTGTATTCTTAGAGGTTTAAATCATATACATGGTATTGGGTATGTACATTGTGATTTGAAGCCGGATAATATTTTGCTTGTGTCGAATGCTAGAAGAGGGCGAGGGGGGGTTAGTGAGTTTAGGGCAAAGATTGGGGATTTTGGGTTGGCAAAACGAAGGACGAAACAGAGTATGAAGAGGAAATTAGAGCCTTATTGGAGGGGTACCCCTATGTATTTGTCACCGGAGGCTGTAGTGGATCACGTGCAAGAGGCTCCGTGTGATATTTGGGCGCTTGGGTGTATTGTTCTTGAGATGTTAACGGGGCAACCTCCATGGGAAGGAGAAGAAAAGTTGAATGCTGATGATATTCTTAGGAAGATCGGGGAAGGGAATTCATTGCCTAAAATACCGAATGAGATATCACAGGAAGCAAGGGATTTTCTTAAGGGTTGTTTTGTGAGAAAGACCGTGTATAGATGGACAGCTGAAATGCTGTTGAATCATCCATTTGTTGAATTTTTGGACAATGGTGATGAGGTCGAAGAACTAGAGGACGAGGAAAGCTTGAATGAGATCAAACCCATTTTGCTCGTAACTGAGTGTGACGATGAATTTAGTTGTGATTTGTCTCCAGATGAATGGGGCTTCTCGTCCGAGGAGGATTCCCTAGTTTATTTTTCCAGAGAAGATGCAGAAAATGTGGACGATGAAATCGTATCAAGTTTTTCTGAAGGAAAATTGAAAATGGAAGAATTTAAGGGTGGCATGATCTCAAGCACTGATGCCGGATTTGATCAATCAATTAAGAAATCAATACAAATTTCATCAGAACAATTCCCGCAGGAATATAGCAATTTATAGGGTTAGATATGGACAACATTTTGCTCGAGTTGCGTTGTTGATTGTACGATTGATTACTTACAGGTTATACTAATGTAGTAGAAGCAGAACAGAATATGATTAATGAATTGTATCTGTTTCAGTCGACAGTCGCTGTTATTTATTTTCTGCCAACTGTTAGTTTCTATATTTTTTGCCTTTTTGATGTTTCTTTTTGTTGAAAACGAGATGTTCAATTCCATAGCACGCAGTTACAATGGCCCGTTGGAAGAAGAATTGCCTCAAATGGCCTGGATGTAAACAGGCCAGTACACTATAGCAGGTGCTCGGGTTTCTGAGGAGGAAGTTGTGGTTCAGCAAAAGGTGGCCTAGGTTTACATATGTTTCGCGGTTAGGGCCATAACCTAATCCAAATGGGATATTGAAGTGTCATGAGGTATTTCACCGAGCCACCCCCAACGGAGTGCCTAGATAGTTTTGCTTTTCGTACAGATCGAAAATTACGCAACAAGGAATTTCACTACCTTAAGACCGTTATAATTTCGGCCATCATCTATATCAAGTTTGCTACATGATATGGAGAGCCTCTACTAGGAGAGGGATTATAGATTCTCAAACTAGCCAACAAATTGGAGAGTCTTTACAAGGTGAAAAGTCCTTTCAAATTATCCCCCGAAATAGTTTGGTTGATATAATTCATTTAACTCTTATGTTGAGTTATTCTCGCACCTAACCCCTATACTCAATTTTGCTTGAGATGATAAATAGAGAAGTGCTCTGAACTTCAAAAACGACAATACGTGCATCAAGAACCAAAGAACAGTTCCTCTCCCCACAATTTAATATAAACTTGGTTTCATTTGTACCCTACATTACAAAAATGCAAACAAACTAAGCTCTGTTCTCATAAATTTAGAGTTCGTTATATTAAATCTTTATTTTTAATTTTTTTACTTTGTTTAGTTCATTGTGATTTTCTACTCTATTCAGTTCATAGCTAGATCTCATGAAAGATCTAAAGTAATTAGGTCGTTAAAGTCCTTTTTTTTTTTTTTTACTTGTGTGACTGAAATTGCATCACTCTTGAAAAAGAGCCGCTTTAAGTGGTTTATATAAACTATGTTCCAAGCTAGTCAAGCAAATTGTCCTCTCGACTCCCAGGGCGCTATAACGTTGATCAAGAATAACTAATGGTTCCTTCTTTCAAAATAGCAAATTGTCCTCTCGACTCCAAGAGAGCTATAACGTTGATCAAGAATAAATAATGGTTCCTTCTTTCAAAAGTTGATAGAGAATACCCATTAAGTAAATAATTGAATTGTATTATATTTTTGAGCAAACTGCACTGGTTCGCGCAATGTATAGCTGTTAAACTAATTAATAGTCCAAGAATAACTAATTAAGAGGTGAATTGATTTTTAAAAGGGTAATTAGCACATAACATCCCCACATTTCATTGTTATTGTGGAAAACGTCATTACCTTTCATTTTTTAGCATTTTCACTTTTCAGTGTGCAAAAGGTCCTTTTATCAATTTTCTCAATTAAAAATTTTGAAATGACGAAAATACAATTCCCTTTAAATAAAACAAAAGGAAAAAAAATTAATTGCAAACATAATCTCAACTTTCTAAATTATTTAGGAAAAAAAAAAGACATTTAGTAATGTGTCAAGGCAATACATATGACGGAAAATGTTAGGCGGTATGACAAAATCAAACTTGATCGTTTACCCTGAAACTATAATTATTTTTTCAATATAATCCAATCAATTATGAGATATGGATATGTGTCAATCTCAATTATCGATCCAATCTTTTATCCCACAGTGAAGTGAATGTAAGTTGAAAACTCTTTTTGGACTTATGAGTTCACCTTGACCAAGGATTTCATTATCAATTTAATTAGATAAAATGTAGATCATAATCTCTTACTATCTAAGAGCGACGAATCCTCTATTGATCATTCACAACATTTATATGATTCTGGACATACCCGAACGATGTTATATTATCGACTTTTGGAAGGGCAACATCTAACATCACCAAAGTATGACTATCCTGATATAAGGCACTAAGATGTCCTTAAGTCAAATGACGAATTCCACTACCGAACGTTAGAAATTAACCACTGACACTCAGATAGTTATCCATGTGAAATCTCCCAGTGGGTCTCCAATGTTTTGTTTTATAACAAAACATCCACAAGTTCATTAAAATGTCACCACACTTTAGCTTGCGAGACCAATTACTTACTTCACAAGTAAGAAATGCCACACGTGATGGTCTATTCGTAATAACAATATCTGTATTTCGTTATTACATACGACCACGGATTATTTAAAATTCAATCATATGTAATTTGTATCCCACAATCACAACTTCTTGTGATTAACAAATCATTAAAATTTGAATCTACGAATTCTATTATTTAATTTATTAAGAATATTAACTTAATTAAATAATAGATATTTTCATAAATACGCATTGATAATATATATTAA